TTGAAACGCGTATGTAAATTGACGCTCCGCGGGCTGCAGTCTCGCGCGAAGAGCGTATCGCGATAGCGCAAAAGCGAAAAGAAAACAAGGGCCTAGCAAGGTCAAGATACGCGCGGACTAATTAAAAGCGCGCGCGCTTTCTGCGTCTTAATTGAAAAGCCTCTTGGTTGTATTTGCGAGGCGCGTGCGCATGACAGGCGAGCGCCGCGGCATATCCCCGGGAATAGTAGTTCTGCCCCGCTATAACTTTGCATTTTTGTTTTAGGCGGAATTCGCGCGTTTGACAAAGTCAAAGGAATTTCATTCTCTTTTGTTTGGCCGAGCTTTCGGCAATGCGCGAGCGAAAAATTAGGGGAGAGAAAAAGGAAAGATTTCATTTTTTTCGTCGTGGATTTCAAACGTTTTGTTGCGCGCGCGTCTGCATCGTAAATTACGCGCTCGGCCTTTGCATCCTCCTTTGACGCGGAAATTCGTATTCTCGTGATTCAACTTTTACGTCGATTGCGAAATGATCGAAAGCGTCCATGGTATAATTTATTGTAAAGCTAGCGCGTGGTGAATGAATTTTCCCTATCTTATCAGACTCCAGATCTTATACTTTCAAAAAAGTGCTTAATTTAATTTACGCTTTAATCATACAATCATATCCATACGGCGTGTCCTTATCAATGATTAATGCAACTGCTCGCGCAACGAGGAAAGGGGATATTTTGGTATTATTCGGCTAATAATTAACCAGCGATGCGTATAATTTATCGAGTGCGTGTGTAACAATTTTACCATCCGGAATTTCGGAGATAGAACCCCCTTATCTGCCACTCGTATATCATATTCGCGCGCGAATTGGCAATCCAATAAAAGAAAGAAAAAAAAAAAAAAAAAAAAAAGAGAGGGAGATAGACATCGCGTGTGCGTACACGCGATCATCTGGCAAAGCTTGTCAAACATCCGCTCTGGGCGAGATCGGCTCGATAATGTTCGCGGTACGTAACGCTCGAGGTGCAGCGGGGATCACCGCGAGGATATTGTGAAATCACGATTTCTAACTGCGAGAGGCAGTCGAAGAAATGGCTTTCTTTTCCCTCGCCGGCGAGCCCGCGCGAAGGCAGCCCGGAATCTAATTTCACGCGCGCACACCGATTAAGCCGCTAGCTCTCTCGAGAATGTTCATCGTCGAGTCGAAAAGCTTATCGCTCGGTTCGCGCGAGGGGCAGAGGTGTGTCATGAGAGTGGCGTTTGAATTGACGCGAGCGGAGAGCACTTAGCCGACGCGCGGAACGGTATAACAACCCGAAAATAAATTCAATGTGTCGCCTGCGAGTTTTACATCGGAAAGTTTCCGTTTGGAAGTTCCCTCTGGCTCGCGGCGCGCGACGGCCAACTTCGCGGCAGCTTCATTTCGCCCCCGCAAGTTTTGAAATGCCGCCGCGCGTCGCGCGCACCCCGCGGAATTTCAACTCGCTACACCGGGACCACTTCGCGGCACAGAGGGTGCGAGGGACGCTGGCTCAATTATTTTTCGCCGCGAAGCGGGGAAGGCGAGAGGTTGCCGCTATTTCTGCGAATGCCCGTGAATAACTGCCGTGCGCTCGCGCGAGTTTTCGATCTCGCCGTGAGTGCGCGCCAGTTGATTGAAATGTATTTCCTCCTTTTCTCGAATTCGGCGATTGTCGGCGAGCTGCTTCGCAGACTTTCATCGCGCTTGTCTTTGCTTCTTTTTTTTCTGTATCCGACTGCGCGGTCGCCAGTTGTTGTTGCCCTCTCTCTCTCTCTCTCTCTCTCTCTCTCTCTCTCTCTCTCTCTCTCTCTCTCTCTCTCTCTCTCTCTCTCTCTCTCTCTCCTCTGTCAATTTCGCTTTACCGAGAAGGTAAAACGGGAGTACCTTTCCCTTTGCCTTGGTAGACGAATTCACCCGCGCGAAAATATTTAATAAGGGTATGGATCTGAGGTCATATTTGTATGTGCCCTGGTGGAAAGATTGTAGATTATTTTTGAAAAAGTAAGCGCGAAAATGCTAATTTCCAAAAATAATTTTGGCAACCTTTTGCGATGGTTTTTATTCAAAATATCTTTGCGAGTCGCACTATTACTCATTGCAGGAACTTCGAAGATCCAAGCATACGTATTCTCATGCGACAGCGATTCATTGCATTTGTTTTTCACTTGGATGTACTCGCTCGGCGTGTATATAATTCGTCCTGAAAACCTAACGCAATCAACTCGCCACAGCTGCATCATATCCGGAAACATTCAACAGCAGCCGAGGCAGTGGCAGACGTCCAATAATCCCTGAAAGCCTTGGCGAAGAAACACCGAATTCCCATTGTATTCGTTGCAGTATTTCAGCCTCCCGCCCTCTCGCACCTATCTCCGCGTTTACACGCAACGCTCTACATGTATCGTCGCGCGCGCGCACGTTAATAAACTTATACCTCGGCTGAAAATAAAAAAAAATGTGCGTGGGCTTTCGATTGCTGCGATAATACCTACATATCTGCAGCAATAAAAATTGCGGTGCCAGTTGTAAATTAACGGCGAAAAAAAAATAAAGCGAACGTACGTGTATGCGCATTTCAAATAGAAACGACATACGGAAAGTTCATACTGTGTGCGCTCGGCGATGTTGTACATGATGATTTTTTTTTTTTTTTTTCGTCGGTGTCCCTATACCTGCAGTTCACGGCTGACCGGGGGGAAATGTAATTTTTATTTTGTCGCAGAGAAACGATATTTCGCTCTATTTTTATTTTTTTTCGTTGTCGTTTGTATTCTCTGTCTCACAAAGGCTTAATTCTGAACAATAAATAATCGATTCGGATGGAATACATCAAAGTGCACCCGTTTAACGTTTATTCACTCGTCAAAGTTTATACTGCTCCGCGAGCAAAGAATTGCGCAGTTTAGTTTACGAAGGGCATTCGCGAATGCTATAGGCGTTTCCATTCGGAGCAACGTCAAAGGCCGTTGTAACTGCGAAAACACGCAATACCATCGTAAACCGCAAAACCGAACGCATCGCTCGCCGTCGTCGTCCCGTCGGCACGCGCGCCCAAACTAAAAACATTAAAGCGAAGCCAGTTTGGATTCGCGCGAAAGTGGCGCGACGCACAAAAGCGCGATAAGTCGCGGTGATTAATGGCACTCTCTCCTGAGAGGACTCCCGCACCTGTCCGCTCAGACGTATAGGCTTTTCGGCGCGAGCGGAGAATGAAACTCCCCTATTCTCCTTTGTCTTGCTATTTTTCAACGCTATCCCCCGAGTCATTGCACTTTCACACCAATATCCGCTGACGCTACTGCTACTATGTTGCATATCATCTTGCTTTCATCTGGAAGTATTAAATATTTGAAGAAGCAGTTTCTCCTAGCGTATAAATGAATTTATGGCTTTTGTCGACAGATCAATTATTATCAATGTTTCAGGATTCAGTTACCCGCAGTAGAATTTTTCAGCGGTGTACAAATAAAATCACTATGAGATTTTGAGTACGATTCCCGAGAGATAGCATTCATCTTATTTATGACTGTCGGAATTAAGAGACGATAACAGGTCCCTAATAGAAAATAATTAGCTTTATAAAATTGGATCGGTTATGAAGTTGGATATAGTCGATTGGCGACGCACGACAGTCGGTGTTATGCATGAAATCCGTCATATCTTGAAGAACAATACTTGAATTGAAATTATCGGTTGAAAAACGCAATGAACAGAGGAAATTACGTCAATTACATTCGTAATAAAATCATCATTTCGCCAAAATCTAATCTTCGATGCTTCAACAGTGGCGCAATTCGAGTCTCATTAAAAATCCAGAACATAAAAAACTGCGCACGGAGGGCGTTAACTTAAAACGATCGCGAGATTTCATTACACGAATCGTCGGTAATCCATTATCACTCGGCAGAGTGGCAAACAATTTCTCTCTCGCGCGGCGAAACTCGATAATTGATTTAAAGGCTTGAAGTGCAAGCACACTGCCGCGATATACACAAAAGGCAAACACGAATTAGCAAGAAACTTCGGGCGCCCCGGTCCATTCGTTTACCTTTGGCAAATCTTACCTTATCGCCGGCAGTGAGGGGCTGCGCTAATTCTCCGAACGAAGGTACAATCCGTCTTACCATTTCGCAAATACAAACGGCCATAAATCCTCTGCGCGCAGTGCTCTCTGAATTAGTTTATCAATGGATTCGCTGTTTTTTTTATAATTCCCAATGAGTCACGGAGGCTCTATCTACAACAAAACCCCGAGCGCACAATCGAAGGCCATTACCATAAATAATCAGCGCAGGGAGGCCGCGCCACGCGGAAATCCCTCCGATTTGTCGCGCGCTCATTAGTTTTGGCTTCGCTGCTCTGCGAGGCTGAGAAAAATAAGACTGCGCGATTACACGCACGCGAGCGAATCGCAACTCAACGTTGTAGAACAAAATAAAAAAAAGAAATAAAACCAAACCACGAGGCTCCCTTGCGCTCGAGAGAAGTGGTCAACGTGGAGGAATTTTTTTATTTTTCATGTGCCGAACGCTTCGCACGTTACGTCGAACGACAATTGCCACGGCATGGAATGCAGTGGGGGAATACTCAAAATAATTGATTATGCGTGCGTGACGATGTGCAAACGCAATGCGGACTGTTAGTGCAAATTGAATCGGAAACGCTTGATATTTTTATTTTCGAAATTAATCGACGGGAATCCTCAGGTGCGATTCGCAAATTCGCTCAATTAATATCCGACGGCTTTATTTATTGGCGAAACGATGTAAGCTCTCGAGCGTTGATTATCGCAAACGAATCGAGATTCGATGGTTGCGTCGTTTGCGCATTATGATATGAAAAGTCAAAGCGATTCGTTGGCTATTATTCGATGAGCATTACGCGAAGTTGTGGTATTTTTTTCATCGCCTAGCCCTCAGTTTTTCTAGAAGATATAAATGCTCGTCTACACGCTCGCACGATCGCATTTGCCGTTGTACATTTTTCACGTTTCTTTTTGCAGCGAACCAAGCACTGAAGACTGAGCAATTCGGCCAGCTTCTGTCGTCGGAGTTGGAGGGTAATCCACCACTGTGGGTGACGAAACGCGGCAGGCCAGGCTACGAGGAGGTGTTCATCAACAACGCGCAGATCGTCGAGGCCGATTACGAATCGATCTCCGCGACCGGCTCCAAAAAGAAACAGGTGAGCGATGCGGAGGAAAGATAAAGACGTGATTCTACTGCCGTCGATCGGGAAAACTTTTCATCTCGCGGCTGTTGGCCCGAAGGCTCTATTAGTTCCTCACGAGAAAACGAGAGGCACTCGCTCGTAGTGCGTTACATTGCCGAGGCAAATACACGGCTTTAATGGTGTTTGCCGAGCGGCTCGTAATTAGCTTCTTATACAAATACCAAAAGCCGTGCGCGCGTGCCTGCGCGCGCTCCCCTAAACCACTGTTATTTCCCTTTTCTCTCCTGGAACTAATTACTCGGTTTCATTTTCGCGTTTGGCCCATTTTATTCGCTCCAACAATATCAGCCTTCTTTCGTGGCAAATATTGCTTACGAACGAAAATCTTACGGATTTGTTCACGGCGTTCGATGAGTTATTATTGCAACGTGGGAAAGGATTGTCTCGCCAGGCTTGGGGCGATGTTTCTTTTTTATGAGTTCACGTGTTCGTCTTTTTCAAGTGGAAATATTTTTCTTTCTGAAATCAAGAAAAATGGGCCTTATTTAGGAACACAATAGAGCAAGTTTTCTTTTTTGCGTTCTTCAGAAAACTGTTTTTTAATTAAAACATTGTTCTTACTTGGAGCAAGGAAGGCCTTACTCGAGAATAAAATTTCTTATTTTGGGGAAAGAATTCTTAATTGCATTTCCTAACTCTTAAAAGTAAAGTCAAATAAATCTAGAAGCGCCATTTTACTTTTAAAATTTAGATTTTAATATACGGGGAATTTAAGAACTTTTTTTGTAGCACAGCTTGCAATAATTGTAGTAGGCTCGCATTAAAAAATCGAGTAGATACCAGCAGGAATTTATCGAAAAATCTCAAGCGGCGAGACATCCACGATGAATCCGAAAAAAAAAAAAAAATCTATAAGTCAGCGTCTTTTCCCCGCGAGTGTACAAAAAGAGCAAGGTGTCTAAGGAGCGTCGCCCGAACCAATGAATCTCGCAAGTACTTGTGAGATATTTTTCGAACGCGTCGAAAGTCACAGTGAAAAGTCGTCGACGAGAAAGTCTTCCTTTTATAGTTGTGAGTTTTACGTTAAGTAATGAAAGTGTAATTACGTTTTTTGAGACGTAAACTGCGAGAAAAAGAGTTAAGGTTTGTTGCTGATTATTCCGATGGAGTCGTCACTGCAAATGGCGGCTTTTACTCCTTAACGCTCTGAAATAACTTGCAATTGTGTGCGGAGAAAAGTGCCGATTTTGTGAACTCAATTGCTAATTATTCTGCGAGTGAAAAAGTCAAATTACGTCGTAATGAACGAAGCTTTCGACACTGCCCTCTCCATCCTAAAAATAAGAAAGCTTGCAATATACGCGTAACACGATAAAAATACCCGGATGAAAATCGGAGTGTCGCGGCCGGCGTGAAAATAAAGTTTATTTATCGTCAGAAAATGATATTTCAAGCGAGCAAATTGAAGAAAAGAAACCCACGCGACCGCATAATTGAAGCCTGGTACACTTATTATACAGCGCGGTAACTAACTTTCCCTTCAGCCTTTTCTATTGCCGTGGCGTGCTTGTAAAAAATCGCTTTTAATAAAAGCCCAAGGGCGCGCGCAGAACGCGAATAAGAATGGTAATTAGCCGCCGCCACGACGACCCAATGGCCCAAAGTAAATTAGTGCTTCTTTTTCTTATTAGCCCCCCCCCCCCCCATCTCGTTATGTTTACCTCTGAATGTCTCGTTCTAATTGTGCGCCCTCGACGCTGTCGTGTATTTTTTTGACATTCAACTGCCATTCGTCTTGTCTCTTGGTTCTTCGAATGAAAAGGTCTTGCGATGGTTCTCGCGCAAATTAACACATTTCGAATGGTTCACGGAAACCTAGAGCGTCGACGCTCACCGCGAAGAGGATCACCGATCGATTTTTATTTGTCGCGAGGCAAGGAATTTTCTTCCGTAATGCGTCAACACTTATTCTTATCTGAATCTTGTTGAAAATGAGAGCCTTGAAATTAAATGAAGGTAGACCTGCTGTTCTAAAACCAAGAGCCGAAAATTCATTACCGGGATAGCAAAATATACAGCATCTACCTCGAGAGCGTAACACTGCCACATAGCGTAAATTACAATTCGGAATAGTACAGCGCGAGAAGGGGGGGGGGGATAATCCTGGAGGCACTTGTTCGCCGTAAAGTCGGCTTAAAGCTCAGTGCGGAGCTTTGATTTCAGCAGTCGGGAGGGGGAGAAGGTAAACAGGCGCACGAGGGCAAATGGAATAATTAAAGCTAACGATAGTGCGCGCGCGAGGAGGCGATCGAGTCTTTTTGCGCGCTCTCTTCCGCGATCCACGGCCATATCTCGCGCGCGCCCGCGCCGAGCCAGCGACGCGGAGCGAACGTACGGGCACCCGAGCTGCAAGCGTCAAAGGCTCTCCGGGAAGGGGCTTTAGTCCGTAGGAGAGCAGCGATGTAATGAGCTTTGGGCGCAAGCCCCTCTGCCACGTCGCTGTTATTGTGTGGCGCGCGCGCGGCAAAGGCATGCTCCGGGTGCACGCGCGCTGCCTCCGCGGCGAGAGCGCCAGATCGGCGCGCGGGCCTGCCTGTATCGATCCGCGCGAGCATCGCGCTCGGCCGTCTTCGAACAATGGGCTATTGATGCCCGCGAGTCGCGTCTTGGTTGGGTAGCTTGGTCGTTGCGCGCCGCGTCGGCGATCCAGCGGGCATTTGTCATTTGCGGACGAGGGGCCGAAAGAACAGCCGGCCGCGCGTAGAAAACCGATGGGTACACGCTGTCGCTTGTTACAGGTGCTGCACAAGATCAACGAGATCCTCGAGCCCGTGCAGACGCGTGGAACCACCGAGCTGATTTACAACCCCGATGCCTTTCAATTTCTCAATCAGAGCGAGAACCTGGACCTCGGCTCGCATCGCATTCGGTGAGTAGCCCCAGTGCCCATCCGCGGCTCGCTCGGAAATATTTTCGCCGCGCGCCCGTGACGCGTCGGCCGCCAACGACATTTTAATGCCCGCACGCGATGTAGCGATTGTCAGAAATTTTCCAACAGATACTCAAATTGTCTTGTTCTTGTTTCAACTGTTTAATATTCGATTCAACACGAAAAATACCTCGGTTGGAGGTAATTTGCCCGTTATCGATATATCACTTTAGTGCGTATACCATCCACGTACAGCGCGTGACAAAACATCGTACAACCCTCTCGGTTTTCATTACTCATTCGTTGATGTAGTTATGGACCTGCACCTATGAACACGCTTCGCTTACCTTTAATTGCCACCTAAAACATTCGTCAACTCGATTGTACAGCCATACCGAACCGAAAAGGCTTCTCCCACGAGGCACGACAAACATTCGATAGACGACGTTGCTTGCTTCTCGTTTAAAATTCAAAAAATGAGCCATAGATCCGCGTCCTCGGCAGAGGACCGATCCATTGGACGGACCCGTAAAGACACGGCGTGTGTGTATCTGTCGTTTTTTTCTTGATTGCAGCACCTTCCATCAGCGAGTGAAGATCACCCGTAAAGAGAATGTTTTCAGCTCGGCCGACAAGTACACTTTCTTCATACCTGTCGACGAAGGCTTCAAGGTATACCTTTGCGATATAGACACACGCTTTCCTTTGTGCGCTCGCCTTTCCATTTAAAAAAACCCGCGAAATTGCCTTCGACTCGCGTCGCTTCACCCTTTATCGTAACTTTTGCATAAGAGAGATCTGCGCGGCGCCGAGTATACACCGTTGTGTCGAAACTGGCTGTTATTGTGTGGTCCGTAAGCCCAATTAGGTCAGTGAACTAACGGAGAAACGTTGCCAAAGGCTTGATTAAATTCGTTTGACCGATTCAACTGAACTTTTTGTGCGTCGATTTATTTATGTTCGTGCTAACGATTTTCAGTTATATTCAGATCTGCTCGATTTCGGTTACGAATGTCACTAAAATTACAAACTTCGTTTTTTATCACTTATTCATGACGTGACACGCAAGATCCTCAATCATCAAGTTGCGAGACAGCTAAATTAATTACGACATTATTCACCATCCATCCAGAAAATACATATTATTCACGCATATTGAGGGGAAGTGGAAGATCTTGCACGTACAACGTAGCCGAAGCTACATATATATACAGACTTACACGGTAACTCCTCGATCGCGCTAGACAAGAAAGCTCGAGTGTTCGTCCATCAATCTTTCCGTTATATACGGTCTTTGAGAGCAAGAAAGCGGCGAGAAAAAGAGGATGTTCTGCACGCGAGGCGGAGCTTTTAGCTTCTGTGTACAAACTGTAAGACTCTCGTCACGGGGGTATTACGAAAAAAGAAAAAACGCATTGATTTCGTAGCTTTGCCTTTATTTATTATTTTTCGGCGAGAATTTCATTTATTTGTTTATTTATTTATTTTTTTTTTTTCGATTCGTTCGGTAGATTATTTAGAGTGGAATTGTAGAACAGACGATTAGTGAATGACGAGCGCGGCTGTGAAAACAAAAGCATGACGTCATATAGTGCGGGATTATTGGCAACAAAAATGGTACCGTTGGATATTTACGAGCAATCGCAACTGATTGACTAATTAAATGATTTGACCAATTACTGCAGACACGTCAGAAAACATAAAACGCAGTAAGCCCGGTGACAATTACCGTCCTCTCACGGATTTGCTGATTTGAATTAATTGTCTCTTCTACCGTATCACAATTTTCAAAAGTTCATGAAAAAATTCGAGAATTGTTCTATTTTTGTTCTATTCGGCGTGTTTTATTTCGTGACTAAGAAACGTAATTCTATTAACAATGGGATCGATCATTCAAATCTGATTGTGCGTTTCCGCAGTGATGTTTGATTTCAATCATCACAATATGAACTGTAACTTTGAATTACTTCGATATGCATATTTGAAGTAGTCAATTTAACGTGCTAAAAAAACTATTTTGTTTGAAAGTACTAACAAAATAATGTTTATAACTATGCGATGTATTATGCGGGATTATACGAAATGGGCTCGATAAAATTTGATCAAACATTTTCTAAAATATTAATTTTGTTGACAACTTTTTATACATAATTGCTTATAAAAATTTTCTAACTAGCACCAAAAACTTAATGAAAGTTAGGGAAAAAATCACATTATTTCCTACTTTGAAAGACTCTCTTATGACAACTGTATAAAGCTCTTTTATTATTTCATTTCATACAAAATTAATTGAATGGACGCATGGCACCAAATTCATTTGTGTAGAAGTTATCGACAACTTCATATATACATTAGTACTGTACACTCATGGCGATTTTAAGAAAACTATATTTTTCATCGAAACGGAAATGTTTTGATGAGGAAAGAACATAACAGCACCGTGTACACGTACAATCAAACAAAAGCTCATCGCAACAATCTCATGCTAATGCTGAGAGAGATAAAAGCCATGAACGTGTTTGTTGTGAATCGTGACATTTCAGAGACGATTTTCGTTGCAGCCGTCGCCGCGATCCAACAAGGTCGACTCGCAAGTTATCGACGGTCACATTATACCACGTCACGTACTTTTCACAGCGCCGACCCCAAGCAATCGACCATACGAGACTCTTGCGTTCGGCGACAATCTCAAGGTTACCATTAGCTTCTCCACCGAGCGAACCAACAAAGGCACCGACAAGTGTGAGTACGATTCTTTACTGTTCGTCGTTTGCCCGCTCAAATCTCCAGCAGCGCAGCTGGTGAAAAATTTAAATTTGTTTTTTTATGGTTCTCTCCGATGCTCGAGAGTGCTCTAAAATCGCGATAATGTAGCCAAACGAAAGAGCTGAAATTTAAATATTCGAAGAAAGAAAAAAGAAAAAAAAAATCAGTGTGAAATTCCTTATGCTCTTTCAAGAATTCATCTCTCGCGCGTTCTACTTTACTTCGCAGTTCTAAAAAGAAATATATTTTCTCCCATCTCGCGAGAAATGAAATATCGAGCATTTTCACCCAATAAAAGTGTGTACATCCGGTCGATAAAAGCCAAACCTAATTCACTGGTATGTGCACGTATATATCTATTTTGAACGCTTCAGACTACGTCAAGTCGGACACGTTGATAGGAGACTCAACGCATCCAACGGCATCGGTGTTGGCTGAGATTGTCAAGCCAAACATTCCCGTGCGCAATGGTGTTGTTCATCTGATTCAGAATCCACTGATGGTTGTCGACAATACACTCGAGGATTTTATTCAGGTCAGTTACGATGCTTCTGCGAGCCTCCATCTTCTTTCTCTCTTTTTTGTATCACTCGAATTTCAGGATCTTTTTAACTGGCGGATGGCGCAATGGTGGTTGGCGAGTTGCGAGAGTTTTCTCTTTTTGGCTCTTTGCGGTGATTGCGAGTGATGTCTGATCGAACGCGGACTCGTACTACTTGTATCAATAAGTAGCATGTTGCTTACAACTCGACGGTCGATGCGCGTATGAATAAACAAAAGCTCATGAATTCAAGAAGGGGATGACGAGAAAATTGCCATAAGTCGTCAACACGATGACGGAAAATGGGCAAAAAGCTCTCGGCTCATATTTTTTCGTCTTTAGTGCCAAACAGAAAACTGAATAAAGCCGTTAACACGCAAGGTCCGACATGAAAAGGAGAGCAAGAAAAGTGCGCGAACCTAATCCGCAAGGCGCAGACCGCGAGGTGTGTAATAAAGCTCGACCGTAAAAGAAAAAAAAAAGGGCCGTTAAAGAGGCGAATTCTCGGCGTCAAAACTCTCATCTCTCGAGCGTGCGCGAAAGTAAAAATCAATTATGTAAAACTTTCTCTTCGTGAAAAAAAAAAAAAAAAAACTCCTTTTAATAAGTTCGCTTCCGCGTTCGCGCGCGAGTGCAAGAGGGAAAAAATAAATAAAAGAAAAGAGAAAATAGTTAGCGGAGGGGCGCTCCGATTATTTGCGTTGGGCCGCGCGCGAGGGTCAAAACTTTTTTTTTTTCTATTCGCGCCGGAGGAGAAGAATTATCTGGCGATTGGTTCGCAACGAAGGCTCTCCGTTTAATTTCGTATTCTTTCAGCCTTTTTTTCACGCGCTATTTCGGGAAAAGTTTTAATTACTTGTTGGGAATTCTTTTCTCGAGTGTTTTTTTTCTTATCTTTTTTTTACTTTTTGTCAACAGAGTGCTAGTTTGAGAAACAATTAATTTTTCTATCGAACGGTTGTGTATCCTTCTCTACCTCTCTCTACCTCTCTCTCTCTCTCTCTCTATCTATCTATCTCGTAGCAAGTATACCGTATTAACGCAATTTTCATTTTATTATTCATCGTTGAGACTTTCGCGACGTAAAAGCAGACAAATCCGTTTTTGTTTTTTTTTATCGAGTGACCAAAAATGAACGCAAATCAGACGTCGAGCAGAAGAAAAAGGCGATGACGAGACAGCTGGATGAAGTTTGTTGGCACGCGTCATCGTAAAAGTGTCCTTTTGCCGCAAAAGAAAGAAATGCCACACTAGCGCGTGAAACGCGTGTGCAGTTCGATCAATTATTCGCGAGTGAGCAAGCCAGATGCCATTAATGTCGTCAAAACAACGTCACGTATGCGACGTGGCGCGACAAGCCTGCTAATGGCTCGCTCACTCGCTCGCTAATGCATCTCGCGAGTGGAATCCATAATTCACAACCGAGGAAAATTCAGCCACGCGCCTAATTAATTTTCACACTTTCTTCGTGAGATAAATCTCTTGAGATTATTGTCCAGACGATTTCCGCAATTGCCGCGCCAAAAAGAGCCAGAAAGAAAAAAACAACCGATGTCGTCTCAAACGTTTACAATTTGACAAGAAACACACAGAAAACATGTCGAAACGTTCTCTCGTATATCCAAAAGCCATATAATATAATTCGCTCACCAAATATAATTAAATAATCTTATCCATCTCTTTATCTTTCTCCATCACATACAGTTTGCCTGAGTATCTGTGCGCACAATTTTTCTGCCAACGCACCCAAAAATGCCAAGTCTATATATCTATAGTACATCTTCGCGCGGCAGAAGCTGCTTCAAGACAAGACATTTCTTTCTACGGCACCAAACCAAAAAACTATAAAAAGCCAGCCTTTACTGTCTGCACTTCTATATATAAATATATATATATATATAACGTATCTATATCGATATTTGCGCAGACATATGTATGACGAGCAAGAGTGTGTATGTGCAGCATATTTTGTATACTGGAAAAAAAAAGAAAAGAAACGCTTGTAACCTATATCGCACGATGTCATGTCATACGTTCTCAAACAAAAACAAAACGTCGACTCGTATTTTTTTTCTTTTTTCCATTTTCGACGAAGTGCTCTCGCTCTCTATCTTTACATCTCCCTATTTCTATCTGCACTGATCTTTAACCTACCTCACATCACCACGCTGCTGCTGCTGTTGCTGCTGTTACTGCTGCTGTGGCTGAAAGATTACTTCGACGGCAATTTTTGTTTCATTTTTTTTTCTACATGTTATTTCGAGACTCGACGCAGCAATGCTGCATCGATGCAAATAAACTCGAGCTTCGAAATCATGGCAAAATCATCTCAACTAATGACGTTCATTTCAGGTCGATATGGTCACCTTTGTTTCTCTCCTTCGACATGCGCGAAGCATATGACGTTTTATTTTCTTGTTTTATGAAAAAATTGCCGAGAGAGATAGCGAAGGGAAGGAGGAAGGCAATTGAAGCAAAACCACGTTGCAGTACGGAACGAGCCCGCGCGCGCGCGCGTGTATGCTGGTGTGAGCGCGTTGCTTCCTCCTCCCTCTCACTCATCTCATCTGTACATACATACTCTGTTATCTCTGTCTTGATGTCTAGGAAAGCACAACTAATGCTGTTTTCCGCACCACCTACCTCTCGCTATGTAAAGTGTGCGCGTGTGTGTGTGAGCGCGTATCTCTTCAGACGACTTATGTATGAAACATCAGCAATACACACGCACATACACACACACACACACACACACACACACATATGTATGCGAAAATACTTTTCCTCGATAAACTTTTTTTACGATTTCGCGCGCGCGAGCTTCTCCCTTGATCGTTCTCCTCTTTTACGTTGCGCATTTTTGAATAACACCTCGTTTTTGGACTTAGTGTACTTTACGGATTTTTTTACCTATCTCTCTCTCTCTCTCTCTCTCTTTTTCTTGATTTATTCTCACTATCTATTTCAGTGATTGATAATTGCTAAATATCGCAATTGATAATTATAAAAAATATTTCTTTCAGCGGTCAACATTGCCACAGCACACATTATTGACACACAATTTAGGCATTTGATTTATTTTTTATTTCAATATGGTAATTCATTACGACCGAAACGTCTACATTTTACGAGTAGATCTAATGTTGTTATTTGAGAGTATATGATAATAAAATCTTGGGTAGATATATAACGAAGTATCGTCAGTACATCCTATTCCGAAAAATACCAATCGCAATGACTTTTACGGAAAAGGAATGACGCCGCAACGTCGATCTCTAAGAGGGATGAAATATCCGAGATGACGGATACGAGAAGTAGCATTCGCTCCCGAGACTTTTACTACTTGACATATTCTACTCTTGGAGAAAGTCGCGTGAGAAGTGGCTCGAGCGAGTCGCTCCATCTCGCAATTGCCTTCCGTTAGCTCGATTTTTCTTTCCTTTCTCATCACGAGCTCGGCCTTGGCTCGTTAATTCTGTTTTTCACGCAACGCCTCTTTCTCTCTCTTACTCATCGTTATCGTACACAAACGATAGAACGTTTGATTCTTCGTCAGGGAATATTCCGCGAACGTCCGTGACTTTTTTATAACAATGAAATGTCAATATTTCAATTGGCCAATGTCTGGCTCGGTCCGCGCGACTTTTGCCGAGAATATCTATTTTAATGGGGGATTTTTCGTGGCTTTTTATGGACGTTTCGTTTATTTTTCAATGCGAGAGCGTGAGCTTCAAATTTTAAAACGAGAGGCAGGATATTACGAGCGGAATTGCTATTTCGGAGCAAAGTTTATTGCAAAATATAGACCGAAGTACATATTATATAAGCGACGGATCCATTTGCGGATTTTACGCATACCACACTTTTGTCAATCTCAGTCTCTCTTCTGTCGTTAAACACGCCCCATTTGATATTGAATTTATATGTGCACGCGTGAATTCATCGGCTCTCGCTTCAAAAATTTTAATTACGCCCTCTAAGCTTATTTACCGTGCATTTTTTTCTAAAAGGACTCTTGCTTTAACAATCTTTCGAGCCCAACTAAATCAACAACCACAACGAACTTTTTCTCATTGCGCAAACTCCTCCGACCGAACAAGAAGAAGCGTCTAAAAAGACGAACGAAGGCACGAGCGCAAGTTTGAAATAATCCGGGCGCCTTCTCTTTTTCGCATTCCACGACGTTTTTGGAATTAAGCTGCGCTCGCGCGCATCACTTTTTTGTTTCCTACTCCCGCTCGTTAGTTCAAAGAGGGATCTCGTCAAAGTTTCATAATGCTTACGACGTCGAATTTGGGAAATTCCTCGTCATTTAAGAGCATTGAACGTTGTTCAAAATGATTTTGTTTCCTGGCTTCTGAAACTTTCAATTAATCCTGAAACTTCGTTATTTCGTAATCAATTGGGTTATCTCGTTTAATTCAAGGTAATTACAAAAAGAGAAAAACTATTATTCATTCGAATTTCAATTAAAAATGTTTAATAACGCGCGACTTTTATTGCCCCTTTCTATAACGATAAGAAGCAAGAAAGGCAAGGGTAGAAGAATACCGTCAGACGCTAAGAAAGCCGCTCGGAGCGTGAAAATTCGCATCGCCGAGAATCCCTGGGCGCGAAACAAAGAAAAAAAAAAGAAAAAGAGGAAGGCGTGGGAGAGAGTACGGGCACGAAAAATCGGGGGCAAATAAGGAGTGAACGAGAAAGCGGGCCGCGGCAATTTATACGGGCGCGGGGTAACGTCGATATTCGCCGCTCGTTTTTCAGCGCGATCCCCTCCTCCGCCCTCTCATTCTCTCTCTCAAGACGCTCGCCGTCAGTACGAAAATTTTCGAACGCGGCGTGAATCACAGTTACGACCGCACGCATATATATACATCTACATTCAGGCCGAGACACGAAATAAACTCAAGTGCGCTTTTCAAAAAGCCCCAAAGCTTTCTAGTATTGATGGTGAAGGCTTTTGCACCGCGAGAGTATAATTGAACTTCGTCGGG